GTACTTATTTTAAACGTTTTACCATCAATATCTGCCAGAAGTGTGAAATACAGCATAAATGGCATAGAAGATCTAAGTCCTCAATATCCATCGCTCCAATGTAAACATTTTCTTAGTATTGAAACCAATTGCATTTTAAAGCTTAAGACAACACAAGAAGTGATAAAATACAGCATACATGACATTACACATACATAATTCTGGAAGACTGCTACCTTACAGTAAGCAAGTTTATTTATGTTAATCCTTGGCATATATAAAAATAAGCACTCCAAAGAAGTGCATGGTTCCAGCAAGTGTCGCCAAGAAAAGACTGTATTCTAAGCTCAGAATCTTGATGATTAACACCTGCCTAGCAAGAGAACATTATCTTATGCACAGCAAAACTTCAAATGGACAACCTAAAAAAAATAAATATAAAGAAAAAACCAACCTGATAGCAGCATTTGCAGAACCTGATACTGCTTTTTCTGTCTTGCTAGGGATTCTCCTTCCTTTAAGGCATGACTTCTGCTTTTCCAATTTTAAGGAATGGAGATCTTGTAAAGGGCTAAGCTTAATTCCCAAATACTGAAAATGGGGGAGCTGCTAGGCTTTAAAGTATCTGTGCCATGAAGTATTGTGACAATTTTTAGGTAGGATAGCTGATAAACTCAAGTATAATAAGAGTTACTTTACCCATGACAAAGCAGTTAATCTATTGTTTCCTTACAACGACTGAAACATGCACAGCAGTCACAAGATTTTATGTAAGTTCAGTTAACCTCCCTCCGCACATTAAGATACTGTGTGACTGTCTGATGCTGGCAGGAGTGATAGCAAGTGAAGCATTTTTACAAAACATCAAATGAAAATTAATTTTTTTTCCTGTGATAAATTTTGGAAAGCTTCTACTGTTTTAACTGTTAATATACATTCCATCTTGTAACATTGTTTTCTCTCAACAATTTTGCAATTTGACTTAATTTTGTTCTCATCTATCACCAGTTTATGTAAAAGTCAGTGTGTATGTTCCAAATCTGATTTCCTGAAACAACTCTGAAGATTACAAGTACCATTTCAAATATATCAAACTCTGAAATCTGTCTACAGACACTAGCTTAGGACACTATAATGACAAGTTTACAGTAGAAACAGCTGTTGTGGTTTAAGACATTGCTTTTAAGGCAAGTAGTTGAGGTAGTTTCCTTGAAGTCCACGTACACATCTCCCCTTTATCTTCTCTGGTCTTCTTGACTGAAGTTCCTGAGCAACCTAACATGTTCTTCAAGGTCAACAACCTCAGCAGCTGCCAGAACAAACAAGGGAGCAGGGAAGGAGAGAGGGACAGAGAGCACGTATGTGTGCTCATGTGAGTGTATTTAAAATGGAATGGGAGATGAGAAGGGAGATTCAAATGGGACAGATGGTGGCAGCATTAAAGGGCTACCTTGGGGCCTAAGACAGATCTTGGTAACTGCTTGCTGCTCATCAGCTACTTGTTACTTCCCCCTTGAAGGAGCCACTTCACATCAGGCAAGCTTCCTCTTCCGCTTTAGAGTAAGGCAGTTCAGTTTCAATTGTCTTTAAGAGGTTAAGGGAAAATCATATTGTTTTACACTGAAGTGGGGGAATACCAACAATTGTTTCCATAACTCAGATAAGTGGTCAGCAAGACCTGACACAACACAGGCAGTGGCCAAGATACTATCGCTTACTTCAGTAGTGTACTTCTGTTCTTGTAGAAGCCTACGGAACAGCTAACTGGACGCACCAAAGAGATAATCTCTTTCATGGTCATACTCCTGCCAACAGTTTCCAGTAGAGATCACAATCACATATAAATACTATAAAAGGAAGAACATTCATGAGAACGTTCATTACAAACTTGTAGTAAACGGTCAAATCAGTTAACACAGAAACACTGTTCCCAGGCATAGACAATAGTATTGATTTGACACTGGACTAGCAAAAAGTGTCAAAGCAGCTCCCTGGGTTGGAGAAAACCCTTCCCACACCCCTACCCTACAAAGGCTGAGCTCCAGGGATTGCAGAATCCTCCTTAGTCTATACTAAGGACCTTGAGACACTGTCAGCCACTCAGCTATAACTATATAAAGCATGACTTGCTCATTATTGGCTGCAACTACAGCTGCAGCTTTGACAAATTATGCACACTTACTGCTTTAGTCTGATTTTAAGAACAGTTTCTGTGCATTAATGACATTCTTTCACAAGGAAACCAAGCTGTAAAATATGCTGCAACTATGCACCAAATACATTTCAAGTATCAACAGCAACAGATGTCTGAACTAATAATTGGTCCTTCAGACAAACACATACATGTCAGGGATGTTTGGTCCTAAAGGTCAGAGTAAATATTGCCCACAGCAAAATCCTTAAGCCACATGCAGATTAGATGAATGCACCTTAGTACCAACTGTTCATTGTCCTATTGCACCAAATTGCCCGCCTATGCACATACAGTCACTGTCTTCCTCTTTGTTACTGCTCTCCAAACAGCTAGCAGAACAAAATCCAGGAGTTGAGCCACAAAGTCATCCCTGCAGCAGGTTAATGCAAGCTGCTGACTTGAGACTGAAGTAGCCGACACAGATTCTCATGTTCATTTCCACTGACTTTGCTGAAGGTTACTATCCTTATAGTGGTGGGGCACAGAATTGTATCCTCACAACTAGATCTGCTGAAGCATCTACATCAGTGTGCCTAGATCCTGTACAAAACACAAAACCTACCCAAAGCCCGTTTTATCACAGAATGGTTTGGGGCAGAAGGGATCTTAGTTTTCCTGCAGGACACTTGGCATTTTGAACGTACTTTATGATTAAGCTGCAATGAAGGTCATACTAAGTGTGGACAGTTCATGCAACCTAACTGGTAAAGTGCAGACTGAAATCAGGCATTTAAAAAAACCTTTCCTCTGTTATTTGGGGTTTTGTTTTTGTTTTATTTGTTTGTTTTTAATTTTATTTTTCTTAGGAGGGAGGGAGAAGAGTTTGTTCGGGGTTTTGCTGTTGTTTTTATTTATTTCTTTCTTTTTTTTTAAACCAATGAGCAGCCTTCTGTCATCAGTTTTTTTTAAATTGCAGGAAAAATAAACAGAATTTTATGTTATACAAGTGCCAACATACTGTGGAAGTAGATTCTAATTTTGCTAACTAGAGTCAGATTATGATTATTTTTCAATAAGGTATGTCTTTTTATGCTAGATGAGGAATTATATACTCTGGATCAACTCAGTTTTTCATAGAAGTCAGATTACATGGACATGAAAGACCTCAGCTTGAAACATGTAGTATAGTTTTGCTTGGTATTTCTGTGAATTAACATGTTGCTTATGGCAACAAAAATAATTTAGATATCTTAATTTTCATTTCCTTTACCACAGTTTTCTCTTAGCCACTACTGCCAAGAGCTTGCAGTTGGATTTTACTTCCTGATCACAAAGGGTTCAAATACAGCAAAGGACATCATAGATAAGCCTTTTCACACTGCTAAGGAAAAACATGTAGTCAAACAAATGTTTTCTTGTAGTGCCAATCCATACTGAAACTTTTGAACAAATTATACCACTTCTCTGTGTGATGATTACACATATTATCTAGGCCATCAAGAGAGTGGATAACAGCAACCACTTACCAACAGAGAAAATAAAATTAGGTCCTTCTAAAGTTTTGAATAGTTTGCATATAAAAATATTCCAAATTTTACTCTCGACTTACACATTGCAGTAATATTTTGACTACACGTTAGTCTCTCACAGTAACAGATGCTTTTTAATCTAGAACCTGGGTGCTAGAATGCTTTACCTATCTTTCATAAGCCTCAAACTGCCTTTGCTTACCCTTCCCTGCAATATTTCTTGCAGGGATAGTCACTCTGGTCATATAATGTACATTGATCTCCTGACACTGTTCAGTGAAACCTACAAAACACTAAATGCCTACCAAAGATTGCATCATTTCCTGTAGGAATGCAAAAAAGCTTAGATCGACAAGAGACTTCCAAATACAGGCAAAATGGTACCTCTTCGAAGGGGGAACCAGAACAGCCATTTCAAGGAACGATCAACATTGGAAGTGACTGTTAAAATGAGAGGGCTGTTTGAAAAAATCTTGAGAATCAAGTTACCTCTATTGTTTTATAGTTCTAGCATGAAAACAGTTCAGTTTGCACTCTTCAGGATTTAACTTCTTGTTTAGTCTCCAGCTTGAGGCTCTACCTCACACATAATCTGCACTCAGAACAAACACCATTACAAGATTCTCTACAAATACTGCACAAAAAAAGGAGGACTCAAGGTGTTCTAACGCAAAGTTCCAGTACAGAGAGATCCACTAAATATACAGACCAACACAAACACATAGTAGCTACATTTGCGGAAGTTATACTGCCAGTCTCTTTTATATGGCAGCTGCTTCTGCACCAATGAAACAGCCTCCTCAGACATGGTAGCGTTCAGCCAGAAGAGTGTTCTTGCAGAAGCTGTACCATATTAGCATCCTAAATAACTATTTTCAAATATTTCCTATTTGGCCCATTGTTAAAAATCAACATGAGTACCAGATAAACATACAAAAGCAAGTATCACTCAGTTCAAAAAAGATGCTTCATGTGGAGATCAACTTACAAGCTACAGTGGAAGGCTAACAGCTTATGTCACAAATTCATGCAAAGCAATACTTCAGTTTAGAAAAAACCCAACAAACCAACAACATTTTAAATTGTCTCCTAGCACATACAAACATACAAGTCAGACAAGCAGGACACTATTTTACCAGTACTTAAAATCACTGCTGAAAGATGACAAGTATTTATTAGAGTTCCAGAAAGCTGGAGAGATCATTAAAATTTGCACCAGAATTTACTTTAACTGGTTTAGTTGAATGACCAAATGATCTAAAAACATAAAGCTTTTAATCCAATAACATAGTGACTTAATTTTACAATAAATTACTCCACATCCCTTAGTGCCTAGGCTGAAAATTGTGATTTAATACCTGATGGGCTCTGTGCAGCAGAAGGAGTGGATGTTGAGCTTGCAGTCACTGAATCACAGCGTCCCGTACTCCCACTGCCACTGGAAGGTGATGGTGATGAGAGTGGTGATGGATTGTGCTGATTTATACACTGGGCTACAGCAAAGCCTGAAAAACAGGACAATGAAGTTTACAAGTTAACAATTAGCTTGAAAGAGTTAACCTACATGAACAAACTGAGAAAGGGTAAGAGCGAATACTGCATCAAAGTGGTGATAATTTTGTGTAGTGACCCAGAGGATGCACCCTCCTGCACCTTCATCTCGGAAGCCTGAAAATTTGAAAGCATCTTACTGAAAACATGTTACAAGTGCTGATCAACAGACAAGAAAGTAGAGTTTAAGCAATTCAAAACATTTTAAAACTTAGAGCTTGCACAGTCAAAACATGTCAAGTCTTCAGTTTTTTATATATATTCAATAAATTCATGGGTCATAGACATAAGGAAAACAGTTAAGTTGAAAGTGAACAAAAAACCCTCTCAGAGAGAAGGCCTGCACTATGTTTTTTATTGCAGAGATAACTTCAGAAAATTTTAATCAATCAAATCTAATGCTGTCACTGGATTTTATCCATCTTCTCACAAGTTAAAACTTTTTCTAGTTTGAAGACTAGAAAGCTCTATACAGTGTCTGACAGCACTTTTTAAACAAGTTGTCTTCTGGCTTTACAGTCTAGTATTTCCTCAACTTCTTTACATTGTAGCATTCTCTTCCTTCCTAACATAATCTCGCATTCATTCCTTTCTCCTACAATTCGTTATGTCCAAGATGAACACCACTTGAAAAAATTAAATAACCACCATGGCAGAAGACATTTATTCTAGTTAAAAACAAAATAGTTCAGTAAGCAGCTAATTATTCCATAAATGTAAATAAATCCATGTATTTTATTTCAGAAACCAAACTGATTGATCTTCTACAATTGTTTAGATAAGTTAAACTGAGGTTACACACAGTGACGCCTGATAGTCTACAAAAAGTTAACCACAAACTAAACTACTTCAAACGTGAAAGACTTCTATAGCACGCAGGGCCACTGATGCATACAGTTTTTGATATAGCAAATGTGCATGACATACTTCATATTTTGAGATACCAGTTAGGATGTGAAACAAGGAATAATCAATGGACTTGTAACCACAGAAGTGAGGCAAAGCCATCTGTTAAAATGAAGGAAACTTGGTTTCGGAACAGTTACTAAAGCCATTGGTGCAGAAGTGCTTACATCAATATAATTTGTTTCGCTTACAGTGCTGGAAAAAGTTGTACCCACCTAAAGGCATTCCATATCCACAAAAGGTTTGTACTTCAAGGGAGGAGAAATCTTCCATCCTCACCAAAATAGTAGATAAAAGTACACAAGGCTTGCTAGTCACAGTAAAAGCTGGCCTGATTCAGCAAGACTGCCTGCCTAAAGGTTCTGCAGAACAGCGCTCATTGATTCCTGTCCTTACACTGAAGCATTTGCTTGCAAACAATCTTAACATATTTTCTGTCCCAGTACAACTGCAAAAGAAGGAGTTTAAGTGTGCTACAGGAAGGTAATTTAGATAGGATAGGAAGGTAAGTTTAAATCATTCAAAATATTGTAACTGGGAAACTACTGACCAAGAACAAATATTCTAGCCAGGAAACTCCTTCAGGAAGTATCTGCAAAGAAAAGGTGCAGAATTCATCATGGCTACTTCTCCATGCCATGGAGAGTGCTAAAGCATATGTCAGCACTAAAACACAAGACTTGAGAAACCTCAGTTTCAGAATGTGCTATTTTGAAGTGCTGTTTTTTTACTGAAAATAATCCTTGTAAACAAAGTCCCCAAATGGCAACAGTCAAAGATTGGTTTCAAACCTGTTTATTAAAAAAAAAAAAAAATCCAACCAGCCTTTCAGCATATTTAACTTAGTTTCAATAGTATCTTTCATTTATTGCACACAAGCAGTAATTTATATTACATAAATCAAGTCAGTTGTATCTTGTGCAATATTAGTGCTGTCAAGCTGCCTTAATTAGCCACTTCTGCTTGAATACCTCTGTACAGAAATGATTTAGTTCTAGATTATTCTGGTGATGACAGGAACATTAGCCTCTCATTCATACCTTACAATTCTGATGACCAGGCAATATAAATATGTATAATTAAAGGCAGCAGAGTTGGGTCTTTAAAAGCAGTAGCCATAATTAAATGTCAAACTTGGAATGGTTCAAAGAATATTAATTAGAAAAAACAAGCTGAGGTGATAAATTGAGGTGATAAACTGAGTTAGCAATTATCCTCCATTATTCTTGCAGAGAACAAAAGAATTAAAAAAATACTTTAAGTATACTTATGGGCTATAAAAACAACCATATCCTGGAATTATGGAGCATGAGACACTTCAATCATCTCACACTGGAAGTAGCTTAGTACTACTTAAGTAAAATATCCCAATCTGATGTTCCTACAGTAGCTACAACAACCCTCACTTCCTTTCCCCAGATATCAAGTGCTTTCAAAACAGATTTTAACTTTGGAACATGAAAAAATAAAGCACAGTGAAGCACAGTTTGACTACAATAAGGTAGCTGCATACTCTGTAGTGAAATATGTAGAGCTTTATGTATGCACTATGACAGAAATGGAAACTGAACCCGACTAGACCGAAATAAGTGTTCTTGCAAATTCTAAATTCACTGAGAAGAGGAATTAGGGAACTGATTCAATAGTTGTACTAAAATTCTCCACAGAGTGAAATTTGCAGGAGGGCTGAAAACATTTATATCATTGTCAATTTCTTAAAAACCAAACTGGATGACAGCTAACACAGTCCTACTAAAAAAAGTGAATAATCTTCTAAAGATATTGCCATAAACATAGTTCTCCTTTAAATCAACAAAAACCACCATCACCAAGGGAAAGCACAACCTGTCTCTCACAAGTACAACCATTCACACACTGTATGAGCTTTGGAGAACTCTTAAACACCACTTGTAGCAGTAAGAAATGAATACATGAAGCTAGTAATTTACTACAAATTGTTTGATAATTTTTTAAAAAGGCACAAAATCTTTCCCAAAGCCTGATTAAGGGATAAACAAAGATGAAAATCACTTGGAAGTAGGAAACCTCATTCATTTATTAGTGAAGATAAGTGGAAAAGGAAGAAGCGTTTGATATTTATTTTGTAATCAGATGTAAAACAATATAGTAATACATTTTAATTATTTTACTGGCTAACATAAAATGCATTTCAAAAATGCAGCATTCAAAATAATTAATATTCTTTGCCTGGTTTCTCATACTTAGTATCAAATAAAAGCTTCAAAATACTTTTTCCTCAGGATTTGCATGTGCATACAGTGGAAGTTTCAATTTCCTGGAACAAGGTAAGTATATGGTGGTTTGAACAAACTACCATGTTGCACCACCCCCCCTCAAAAAAAAAAGAGAATTAGTAGATGAAGTCACTTGTTAGGAACACAAACCACTCTTCTTAGAGAAGGCTGACTCTGAACCAGTAACGTTGGCATGTTTTCAACCACACCTTTTCCATGGAATTCATGTCAAACAAGGAAATACATTCCCATCATACAATGTACACTTGTCTTTTGAAAAACTTGACTGGCAATATAAACACTTTTATGATTTCTGTGGCACAGACTCAGGCAAGCTGAGCTCCAGTTTAGTCCTAGGGCAGTAGGACATCTGCTTTCTAAGTAGGGCATCTGAATTTTGAATCACATTTAAAGAGAAATTCTGAGATTTGTGAAATGATTGGCAGCTAGTGGTAAAAAGATTGCATCTTTTTGTATAACACAGCAAAATTAAGTGCTTTCAAGCATTATTCAATTCAACTCTACAATTACTCAATCCAAGAGGAGAAAAGTTCAACATCTGGAAAAAAAAAACCTCTGCAGAGAAGCTAATCTGTGAAACAGACAATAAGGAGACAAAAGAGCAAACAAAGAGCTCATTGATTGAGAAAAGTTCAACATCTGGAAAAAAAAAAACCTCTGCAGAGAAGTTAATCTGTGAAACAGACAATAAGGAGACAGAAGAGCAAACAAAGAGCTCATTGATCTAGAATCATTCCTTTAATCCCAATTCCAAGCTAATATTTTAGGAGTAACTGTAACCCTTTTCTGTCTCACTGGCTCTAAGGTAAACAAAGCGGTGCACAGTATCCCAGCTACTTTTACAAACTGGCAAGAAAATGATCGTAACCAAACTAAAGTAGGAACTATGCACAACTGACAGATGTGTTGCATAAATACTTAGTATGTGAAATACAATTTAAACTAACTCAATTTGTAAAGGAAGGCAAAGTATTAGACACTTCCAGCTACTTAGAGACACTGCTGTGGATGTATTGCTCACAAGGTACCTGGAATACACACCCATTACTTGTTTCTCGAGGAGTAAATTTTTCCATAAACCTCATCCTGGAGTTGTGTGTTCAGAAACATAACACAGTAAGCTTTTCATTGCTTACAACATTTACAGTTCAGCTTTTGCAGATAAAAAAAAAAAAAATCACAAAGCAAAAGTTGCTTGATAATGAATGCTAATCTCACCTGGAACTTTGTCAACAGATGCAAAAACAGAGCGTTGCACTGTAGGATCACTGCTACCACGTCGTGACTGATCATAAAATCGAAATGGAAGGTGCTGGGCTGTAGCAGCAGAGCTGTGTCCAAAACCCATAACTTCAGTTGAAGTCTGAACAGGAAGATCCAGGAGAGCTATGTTTAATCACAATTGATAATTTTTGTTACTCAAAAATACATAAAAGGAAGAGTACATGTATTGGGTTTGTGTGGCAGGGTTTTGTCAGTGGGGGGAGAGGCTAAAGGAGTGGCTGGCTCCTGTGAGAAGCTGCTAGAAGCTTCGCCAGCTCCAAGTTAGACCTCCCTCTGGCCAGGGCCAAGCCAACTGGCACCTCAAAAGCATAAAATTATTTTAGTTACCTTCCTACAGAACCATAAGACACTAAAATAATCTTACACCATCTCTAATCAGAATAATTCTCTGGCCAACGCAATAATTTTAATACCAGCTATGACTTTGTTTTTCACAACTCTGATGAGTTCTTTATTGCTCTTGGACAATCCAAGTACCTGGAATAGCTGGTGTCCTTTATCATTTGCCTGTTTTCCTTCCCGTATTTCAGAGTTTCCTTTTCTATGCCCACCAAGTCATTCAGTTTACTCGTAAGCTTCAATTTATTCTTCACTCACTTAATATACAAGTAATATTTTAATCACTCTTTGCTATTTACTCAAATTAACTTTTTCCTTCATCTCTTTGCATGCATTTCTTCCAAATACAGAAATCTAGCTGCTGTGATACTCCACTTAACATTTTGGATTGCTCATCACCACCACATCCAATCATTAAGCATTATCATCAACACCATCAGGACACAATCCAACTCAAGACTCAGGCAGGCTGAGCTCCAATTTAGTCCTAAGGCAGCAGAACATCTGCTTTTTAGGTCGGGTATTTGAATCTTGAATCACTGAATCACATTTAAAGAGAAATGCTGAGTTTTGTGAAATGATTGTCAGCTAGTGGTAACAAGACAGAATTCCTTCTTTTTCATCCTTTGATATGTCTGTCACTAAAAATGAAAACACATTTTACTCCAATAAAATCTGTTGCTTGGAAACTAGACACTGGTTTACAAATTTCTGTGGCACACCACTTAGATTTTTCTAACAGATCCTTATGTTACAGAGTGACTTGCTATGACATACAAGTCTTGTTTCTCAGAATCATTTCAAAATAGCCATTTACCTGCTATTCTCTGCATTTTCATACGCCGAGCCTGGATACGGCCTTTTGCAAGTCGTTGCTTTGCAATAATGCAACGAATGTGATCGGAAAAGATAAATGTAGCTTGAAGGATAGGGAAGGGCTTAGAATGAGGACTTGAGGCAGGCTTATGAATTATTATGTTCAGAGCTCTACTGTCATCCTCTACTCCCGTCACCTGCATATCCTGAAAAGAAACAGAAGGCAAGTAGCTAATTAAAAAGTTAGCATTTTGAAACTACAGATTAACTATCAACATTAAAAGAAAACCCTATGAATGCTCCACTAAAGCTCCTAAAAAAATGTTTCCGTGTTAAAAAAAAAAAAAAGGACTATGTAAACTGTACAACCTTGGATTTAGTACGTCAGAAATTGGTACTCAGAGATTAAGTCACTTTAAAATTCAATTAAGTTATTTGAGCCTAGTGAATTTTCAGGAAATACAAACAGTGATGGCTAAGGCAAGAAAGAGACATAAATGAAAGAAACTTCCTAAAGCTTTTGAAATCAATTTGATAAGCACGATCAT